TTGTAGTATTAATTCAAATACTCACGTGTTTAATATTATTTTCAGAAAAAAATTTCTTGTACTTTACTCTATCGTATCAAATTTTTTTAACAACAATATATTTATTACATCCAGTAAACAAGGTGTTGTGTTTCGTTAGAACTAACTTTTTAACAATTAGTAATAAATTTCTTTTCAGTCAAATTAATATTATTTATTTAAGAAATCTGTAAAATTACTTATGCTTAGTCATAATAGCTGACTAAACCGATTTCAATTCCTATTTGAATTTAGTAAATTTTTAATACTTCAAAAATTTTTTAGCAATTAATTTTCTTGTGATGTGTTATTATTGTTTTTTTTTTACATTTTGAAACCTTTAATGATTACATCTGTAGCTTGTGCTATCTAGTGAGTCTTTAAAACTTTAGAATTACTAGTTGTTAATATCTAATTTTATCATACAACTTATTTACATAATCTTTCAATTTACAAGAAGTAAGATATCTATTGTAGCTATTATAACTATTGGTATCTATTGGTATGAGAACTAAAAATTATTTAAGTGGGGTTGAAGGTGTTTTACTAATAACCTTCATTAGATATTCTAGTAGCATTTCAAAATATTCGGATTCTTCTACATTTATTTGATCCGCAATCTTTTGAATTTTTTCTATCACATTCAAGTTCATTTGAAAAATGTCCTATAAATTTAATCAAATCAAAAAAACAGATTGATAGAAATCATATTTATTATTACTAATACCTACCTCGATCTGTAAAAAAACCTCTAATATGCTTGCTATATCATGATTCATATTAAAGATAGGAATTGAAATAGGATAAGGATTTAGATATGTAATGAAATGAATCTTGATTTCTTCACATATTTGATATATCATAAAATAAAGCTTTCTATCTAAAATTAATAATGATATTATAATACATACATTCAACTAAAACAAATTTATTAAGTTACATACTAGATGAAAATAGCCCTATCCATCGCAACTCACAAAACAATTTCTTTAATTCTTTAGTACCTTTTTACATTTTTTGGCCCAGTATAAAATAAAGCTATTTGCAGCATCATTAAGCATTCTACATAGTTTATTGTAATTACCACTATGAGATTTGTTTAGGCGTTTTGCTTCACATATTAGAAGGTATAATTTTATACCCGTTTCTGGAGAATATGTTATAGCTGTGCCAACTTTTCTGCAATACACACGAAAAAGTGTGATTTTTTGTTCACTAGTCGTGTCAAGAGATAATAATTTGCGTTTATCATTTGGAATATAGATAGGCTCATCCCCATTATTCTGAATAATAACTACTGTTTTTTGAACAGAATCGTTAGCATCAAAATGTTCATCTTCAGGCGTTTCAAATAAATTTACTGCATTCTTCAAATTCTTTGGCTATTCTGTAAAAAGAGGATGATAATACAGTTTCTTTCGTTTATAAGAACATTGAGTTGGATGTTCTAGACTAATATTTTAGATCTATATATAAAATTTATATGTTATTATATTCAACAACAATATTTTAAAAAACTTTTAATTACCCATGTAAATGAAATTTGCCAAATAAGAACTTATTTAGAACAATTTCCAAAGGGATGAATATATAATTTAAAACTAAATCAGACTCCAACATATTATTAAATGGATTAATCCATTGTCTTATCCTAAAAAATTAAGTCTTAATAAATAAAGTCTTAAATATTAATATATTATAGTTAAGCTTAACTTTAAATACTTGCCATCATATGAGAATGGACTCAGCCCATTTATTTTGTTTATTATTGAGAGAATTTATTTTTATAGAAGGTGGTTCATGACTAAGATTATAATTGATCTACTCTGCTAATTATATCATCTATCTGAAGTAAGTTTAAGTGAAAGCACTTGGTTTTTAATCTGTTTAGTAAAGATCTTTCATATATTTTATTCTAAATCTAATCTTCTTTTCCAAAATCAACAATATAACACCAGAAAGGATCTAACAAAGAATATTTAAGAATTTGTTTACGATACTTGGAGAGTTCATTTAATCTATTGATGAACCACTTGGGATTGCCATTCTAATTTTCAGCAGAATATATATTAATTAAATTTAATTAAATTATGTCTTGATAAAACTGTAATTAAATTTACCTTCTGTGCTAAATAATATTCTATCGTCTCAATCTTTTGTTTTTGTTAAATTTTATTGCTGATTTCTTTAATCCGATCTACTCCCATATTTTGTATAAATTTCAAAATGCTATTTATTTCATTAATATCTTTACCGCTATTCAAAGTCTTTTGTATAATGGTTATCTTATTAATATTGCTATCTGGTACTAAATTAAAATTATTTTTATAAAAATTTTAATCAGATTTTTGATCATATTAAGTACAATAAATAATCTTACGATTTTCATTTTTTTCATTCAGATACGCAATATTTGTCCAAAAATTCATTACATCGTAACATATAAAGGTATTCTATAAAAAATAGATATAAGCATATGTATTGTAATTACAATATCGATTTGCCTTAATTTATATATTAAAATCATAAAAACCAAAACTATAATAGCGAACAAATATTTGACAAGTCACTTGATATCGAATTATACTGAAAATAGGAATCTGTCAAAAATAGCCAAGGTTATTTTTGTAACCAGATAATCTTTGACACGAAACTAATTTAGTAGTCTCTTGATTCCTTACAAACTTTTAAAGATATTCATATTGCAATAAAAGTAAGAACCAGTCAAAAATTGCTAAGGTTATTCCTGTAACCAGATAATTTTTAACGCAAGACTAATTTAGTAGTTTCTTGGTTCCATAAAGATATCTATATTTGTATACCAGTCAAAAATAGTTAAAGTATCCTTGTAACTAGACAATCTTTAATTTATCAGTCTCTTGGTACATGATATTTGTACACTCTTATAATTTTGATTCTTCATATCATCACTGCTTACTGGAAGATTTTCTCTAATGGTGCTGTTAATTGTTTATTTTCACTCTTATTTCCTTCAGCAATTACTCGCACAACTGTAGCCTCACCAATTCCTAGAACTTTGGCAACAAGCTTGCATAGTTGCATGTGTTCTTGTTGCTTCTAGCCTTGCTGATATTCCAAAAAGTATTTGTGGATGCTAAGAATCATTTTTTTTTCATTAAAAGTTATCGTGCTTTTGTCTCTTTTCAAGTCATCCATTTTGATAAAAAAAAAAAATCAACACATTAAGATTTTTGATTATGCTTACCCTTTTTGTAATTTTTAGCTGCATATAGATGAACTATTGAATTTTCAATTAGTAAAGAATTTTAGGTAACGATTTTCATGTATCTACATTTTTGCACCAGCCCATATCTTTCTTCAATTCAAAAATAATTTCATCAAACATCTTTACCAGGATCATGATTGAAGTTCAGTCACAGACTCTTATAGGATGCATCAAGATAAATACGAAATAAGGACACCTCCGGTGAAACTCCAGTTGAAAAACAAGAAAACTTAGAAAAAGAACAGTTACGGTAAAATTCCCGGTTGTAATTGGGTCATCCGATATAATCCGGTTGCAGAAACTAGAAAAACGAAAAGGACAGTTCTAGTAAAATCCTCTGGTTGTAGTTGGATCATCTGGTAATCCAGTTGTAGTGATTAGGATTAGTTAATATATCAATATATAGATAGCTACTCATGTAATTCTTAAATGTGGAGGACCTTACAAATTTAGAAGACCCTCTGTAATAAATGAGTTAATAAAGATTTGTACACCTCCCGACGTCCTGCGATCAAGCAGGTTAAAAAAAAAAAAAAAAAAAGTGTAAGAAACGATATTTTGCATATAATGGGCGACAATCTATTGCTATAGCCTATAATGTTTAGAGATTGGACCCGTTGAGAAAATCTTTATCCGGGTGGAGTTAATTCAATATATTATCTACATGCTGCATAAATTATTTATATAACCCACTAACCATAACTACGTCAAAAAGATAATCCTAAACTAGAGTTCCAATCTGGATAATCCGTCATCCGTTTATCAGTATCCGATTATCCGGATAATCCAAATCGCTCGGATATCCGGATAATCCGACGGGTAATCAGATAATTATCCGGATA